TATACCCCACATCCCATTAAAACCTCGCCGCCTGAACAACACGACGATAATGTCATGCAAGAGAGGCCTACAAGGAGATAAAGCAAAGGCTTACTGTTGATATTTGACCCCTTTTTTGACATGTAAAAACTGTTGCAATATATATATTTTACGGCAAAGTGGTAGTTCTTTATGCTTTATTAGAGTCAGATTTTGATTAAAGCAGTGCCAACTTGCTTAATCAGGAGAAGATTCACCATGAAAAGCTTACAGGTGTTAGATTAGACCCCATAAATTTCCTTACCAAAAGTCTCTCTTTTTTCTTCGTTTTCACATTTTGTGTCATCTCAATTGCAGGCAATCTTCATAGATATGAATCATGGATAAGTCCATGTGTAGCGACAATCAAACAAAGTGCCCTGAAATCACACGTAAGGGGTGATAATAATCACAGGAAAACGCCTACGAAGCAGCCTGCTCGCTTAGCAGCACATGCAGTACTCGAAAATCGATTCAAATCAGACCACACCGTCCACTTCATTGACACCGCCTTATTTAGAGATGGAGTCTTGTCTCTTTCTCTAGTTATAAGAAGAAGGAACACAAACCATCCCTTATTATAGATCCTAGGATGTCTGCACATGAACAGCAAGTGAAATCTTCCACTGTATCCAACAGGCTTACTGTTCAAGCCTCAAAATTAACCTCCATGAAGTAGGAACTTCCTTTTACTTTCTCCACATCCTTTTGGTCCCTAGTCTTGAATTAAATTTTACTTGCATTGTCAATCAAATGATCATATACGGTTTAGTGGACAGTAACTATTTCTTGTCGATAACGACAATTTTTTTTTTGTTTTTGTATATTCAGTATCGAGTTTTTGTCAGCCGTGAGCCACAAGCCGACAATAGCATGTTGTTGTTATCCAAAAAGGCAGAAGAAGCTTGCTGAGATCAAATGTCTCTCCACCTCTAATCTTCTTCACCACTTGCACACACACTGACATTAGCATGATGATGATGATCATCATCATCATCATCATCACACAAATATCAAAACGAGAGTGAAGCAGTTGTTATTTGTTTAAAAATAATTTTCAGTATTTCAATCATCTGATATCGAACGTTTATACTCTTACTAGTTTTCATGTTCGAACTCATAACGTCAAAAAATAACAATAATTATTTTACTATTGAAATCAGAAATGACCATTCAGCTCAGTTAGTAGAGTGCAAGGTTTTTAACCTTGAGGTCGTGGGATCGAGTCCCACGGAGGGCATTTCATAATTTGGAGGTCTTTCATGGAAGTTGCTCTCAATTTGACGTTGGGGGTAGTCTATTATCTTATCTCCCCCAGGTTGAGACTTTCGCCATGATTAAACTATTGAAATTTTGGACACCCTAAACTATCATTTTTTTTCAAAATCATACTTAACATTTAGTATTCACTTTTGTACCTATTATTAAAAACTTAACACGTTTAGTACCTAAAATATCAATTTTAATCCATTTTGGTACTTTAAATTTAATTTTTTTTTCAAAACTTAATGGTAAATTTTGAATGGGATACTAAAATGAAACAAAAACTAAAGTCTTCAACTATGAGAGATTAAAATGAAGCAAAAACTAAGCTTTTGATATGATTTTAAAAAAAATTAAAAATTTAAGTATTAAAACATACCAAAGCTAATAATTTAGACACTAAAGGCATAATTTACCCATAACTCAAATAATAAAAAATAATTCATCAACTTAAAGTTTCTTATATCTCTAATTTCTCCATTATTATTGTGAAAAACTGAATCACATGTTATTTTAACACATATTCTTCTGATTGAATATTTATGCAACTTCAATTCTTATTTTAACAATTATTTTTTTTATATCTTAATCCTTTAATTTTACATTTTATTTAATTTAAATTTTTATTATAGACAAATTTTACAAAAAAAATTCCACATATCAATATTTTGTTCCCAAGGTATTTTCTTTAGAAAATATATAAATATATTTTATAATCTTAAATGATATTTAATTTAATTACAATGTAAAAGATAATATATATATATATATATATATGAAGTCAATCCGTACTATAATCTTAGATATATTTAATTTAATTTAATTACAATGATATTTAATCTTAAATAAATAAATCTCTTTAGCCAAAAGCCTTTATCCTTCAAATTATTGCAAAATCTTACCAATAATCCATTCCCCATTCCCTTTGTAATGCAATTGCTTGTGTGTGTGTGACACACAACAAAAAAAAAGGGCATATTGAACAGACTACATTAAAGCAATAGCATCATTCATATTAAGCTCCCGTAAGTATCGATTCAAGATCATACTCTGTTTTCTCAGTTCATGGAAAACATAAAAGGCACAACAATCACATTTAAGGTCAAATTATGAAAAGAGATTTTCAATTGTGGCACTACTTTATCAGTCAAAGCCACTAAGGACCGACCACCACGATCCGAGAGGCCCATCACACCGAAAACGAGTTCTCATAAGATTCTAGATCAAGAGCTTCTCGATAGCATCCTACATTTCACAAATGAACAAAAAAAACATAAGATGCAGAAGCATATTCAGCCCCAAAGGGTGCAAAATATCATAAATTTTACAAGGTAACATGTTGTACTAGAAGGCCAAGTACCTTGAGTTGTATTTGGGATTTCAATTGGCTTCCTTCGTTTGTTGTGACAGAGCATGAAATTACAGGTCTTGTGACCCCACATGCTCGTCTAAGTGCTTGCTTTGAAGGAACAAATACATAGGGGACATTCTGCAAAAAAAAAATCAAATACAAACTTAAATATTGTGCTCTAAATCTAGGCAATGAATCAAGGTGTTGTGGCCAAGATTTTGGTTCTATGATGAACTTTACATTGAGAAATCAAGATGGTGCATTATAGGAACAATCGACATTAAACAGAGGGCATAACCTCAAGTTAAAGATGCTTCAAATTCACAGCTAGTGAGTACACCATCGATTTGAAGCAATGAAGCTAGACACTCCAAAAGACACTTAGTCCAACCCTAAAACCTAAATACTAAACCCTAAACTAAAAACAAAGAAAATGGTAGCACATAACAGCACATACAACAACCATAAGCACATCAACCACAAACACATATACCAATCATAAGTACTAAACAAAAGGGGAGAAAACTCCAAAACTGCTGAAAATCACGTCTTCATATACATATAGTCATGAAACTTGCAAGTCACAGTCGTGTTTGGCAATTAGGAGCAATTGTGCAGCTTGATATGGTAGCTACCCCCATTATTATGTGAGGTACACAATCCCAATAGTGCAGGCAAGTAGGACAAACTACATATTTGGTACCTAAACTATTAGTTTTGATCCATTTTAATATCTAAACTTTCAATTTTTTTCTCAAAACCATACTTAACGTTTTGTTTTCATTTCATTTTAGTATTAGCCGTTAAAAACTTAGAGAGGGCGTTTAGTAACTAAACTATCAGTTTAATCTATTTTAGTAACTAAACTTTTAAGTTTTTTTTTAAAACTTAATGGTACTAAAATGAAAATAAATAAAAATTTTGTCGGATGCAGGTATTAAAATGAAACAAAAATTAAATTTTAGATATGATTTTGAGAAAATTAAAAATTATTAAAACGGAACAAAACTGATAGTTTATATACTAAATGCGTAATTTACACAAGAAAATATACATATTCCATAAAGCAATTACCTTATCTTCAGCAAGCAAAGGAAGGTGGAGCAGAATCTCAAGGGGCTCGGTATCCGCAGCCATCATAACGAACTCCGAGATACCTCTGTTCAGGGTCTTGGTAGCTGAATCCCAAACAAACCCGATTAAAAAATGAAATGAAGAAGAATATCAAGAGAAAGATAAACCCATATCGGAAACGATAACTATGATTACAATAAACAAAAAAATTATGGAAATGGGTATTGTTTACTAGCCTTCATTAGCTCCCTTTTTGAGCTGCTTGTAGTTGGCAGCTTGTTAAACAAGATCTAAAATTGTTGTTGTCAACTGAGATGCTATTGGGTATGCTTTGGGGTTCACAGGTTCTCTAGTTTACGGAAAAAAAAGCCAATTGTAAGATATAATGCATAGATAAAACTACATGAGCTTAAGAAAAAAGAGAGAACCATTATCATTTTTCTCTTTGGGAAAACAGAGGAAAACGAGTAACAAGGGTTCTTGCTCGATATAGTAATAAAAAGGGGCGCTAGGGTTTACGAGGGAAATAACGCAGATCACTTATATTAATATACAGGAGTAAATGACATGTTTAGTATTTAAATTATTAATTTTAATTTGTTTTAATATTTAAATATTTAATTTTTTAAAATCATATCTAAAATAATTTTTATTTTATTTTAATACATCATTATTAAAAATTTAACAGTATTTTTTATGGGTAAATTATTATTCAACTATCTTCTCACTCTTATTTAGATACTAAAATTTGAAATTTTTTAATTTAACTACTCAACTTTTAAATTACTTCTATTTAATCAGTTTAATTTAATTCATTAATATTTTTATGGTATGAAATTTTTTATTATTTTATTAATATATAATTAAAAATAAGAAAAATTTGAAAGTTAGAGTGATTAAATTAAAAGTAATTTGAAAGTTAATAAATTAAATTAAAAAAAATTAAACTTTAGTGATCAAAATAAGAGTAAAAAGATAATTAAGTGATGAATGCTGCATTTAATCCATAAAAAAGATGCCACTATTTCCAGTTAAGTTTTTAACTATAAAGTACTAAAATGAAACAAAAATTAAATGGTAGGTATGGTTATGAAAAATTGAAAGTTTAAATATTAAAATAGACTAAAACTAATAGTTTAGATACTAAACACGTAGTTTACCCTAATAGATATTTGCAACTCGGATCGGGTCCAGGTCCAACAACTATGGGCCTCAGTGTTGGTACCCGAAGGTAAAGTCAAACACTCAAATTCCAAACTCATATTTCTTTTTATTGCTTATTTTTTCAATTTCATTCTCAAATTTGCAGGGCGCTTCGTGAAGATCTTCAATGGGTTGGATTGAAGAAAACATGAAATTCACTAATGTTAGAAAAATTCTCTCTCAAGCCATCAGCCTCGGTGCGTCTCCCCTTTCCTCTCAATTTCTCGAAACATTTGATAAAAAAGACTTGACTTTTCTTAATTAAATCTTGTTAAGGAATGGTTGTTTCATTGGCGCTGATGATGTGGAAAGGATTGACTTGCATTACCGGAAGCCAGTCGCCGGTCGTGGTTGTACTATCAGGGAGTATGGAACCAGGTTTCCAGCGAGTGAGTCATTTCTTTACATGCATTTTCTCTTTCTTTTTTCATTTAATTTTGATTAGTGATATTTAAAGAATCTAATGTGAATTTAAATACTTTTGAAATGCAGGGCGATATCTTGTTCCTATACATTAATAAGAATCCTATTCGCACGGGACAAATTGTCGTCTTCAATGATGTACATCGTATACAAATTATACGCTTGTTCTTTCAACTATTTTCATGTTTGAAGCTTGTTTTGTTGATTCATTTTTTTCTCTATGCTGAGTAGGGGCGTGATATTCCAATTGTTCATCGGGTGATTGAGGTTAGATCCTGTTGAGATTTTATGTTTGGTTTTTTTACTCTCTGCCTGTTTACTTGTATAAATGCAGAACAAAACTACATTAGTTTGACTCGAGTGTGAGTGTTGGATACGAGCCCAACACGCATATGTTTGGACTTTGGAATTTTGAAGGTTTTCCCAATGTACTTGGAAACCATCTAAATACATTAAACTGTCTAGTTTCTAGAGAGTAGGGCACATCATAGTGACTTCCTAGAGTCATCTTTGTTGTTTGGTTACTACATTCCAGCCACTCATCTGTGCCAGGAAACGCCATTGACGAATGTGTGCTATGCATGCTATAAGTGATCAGTCTGATACCCTTTGTTTCTTCTCTGGTTTCAATGTATTCACAAGTATATGGTGCTTCTCTATCGGTTGCTAATGGTGAGTTCTAGACAGATCGTCCGGACTCATCTTTATTCGATGATGAAAGTTTGAACTGCTTGAATGTCAAGTGTGAAACGGAAGCTTTTCATATGCTGATATAGAATGTCTCAAGCAATTAGAAACAAATAGTTTGAATCAAGCTAGCACCATGTTCAACTCTAAGAGTCTGGTCATGAACTTTGTGTGCAACCACCTATGCTAGTGATCGAACTTTTTTCTTTCTGAAATGTACATAGGTGCCATGGTTGTAAACTATTTGAATTAAATGATACCCTTCAGGTTATTTTGTATGCTTGGCTTAGTATATTGCTTGTTTTGTTATGCCTTTTCAGGTTCATGAGCACGAAGATACTAAAGAAGTTGATATACTCACAAAAGGTAGCATGTTCTTGATAACAAGCTAGTTGAACAAGAGCAAATACAAGTCTTGACCTTTTTTTCTCAGTGCCCCTTTAATGATCAATCGTACAAATATTTTATGACCATTAAAATCCCATTCCCCACCAATGTAATGGAGTGTGGACTCTTGGTTTTTTTCTCTCTCTCTCTTTTTTTCTGCGGTTGCTCCCCCCCCCCCCCCGAATATCTTCATATGTACATTTACAACTTGTGTCTACTAACCCTTTTAATCTCTTGACCGGACATATTCATCAGGAGATGCAAATGAAGATGATGACAGGATGTTGTATGCATCTAATCACGACTGGTTGCAACAAAAATACATAATGGGCAGAGCTGTCGGGTAAATCTAACATCTGTTTTCCTAAAAATGTTGAAAATTTCTAGAAGTGGAGACATTTGTAAAACACACTGATTAGGAATTTCTTGCACCACTCATTTGTGCTATAATCTTCGAGTTTATGAGTTCATCACACCTAATTTGACAAAAATAGCATTACTGAATTGTGTTTTGGCATATATTATTATTGTTCAAGACTGATAAGCATATAAATGGATAAAATTTACCAAGCATGTGAAGTTTTGGGAGCTAGAATTTAGTGAAATGAATTTTCTATTGTTCACGCCAATTTAATGGTTTAGTATTATCATCGGCCCTGTCAATTTGACATTTGTCAAATTACCATCAGGGAAAGATTTGACCTAGAACAAGCATAACTGTTCTTTCTTTTGGGGTCTTCTCTCTACTCTTATTTGTCAATAAAAAAGTCAGACTACGGCCAATGCCATGAATTTTCTGTTCATATGCTTAATAGTTTCTGTACATAAGTAACTATTCCTGAACTCATAAGCACATTTTGCCCCTGCATGCTTATCATTATTTCCTGTTCATCCTAGCGTCTATTGTTTTTGACTCTTCGTTTTTCTTCAAGTACTCGTGTATGGAATTTGTCTCCAACAGATATCTGCACATGTATAGGCTATGATATTTTAAGAACTTCGAAAAAATAATCATAACTACTTACACTGCATCCGAGTAACATAGAAATTCAAGTGAGCAACATGAAAGTTATACTTTTTTTTATAGGACATGAAAGTTATACTTGAAGACAGGTTTGACCAAGAACAAGGTTAAAATCATACTCGGGTTCTGGGTGACATTTATCTGATTTTCGTTCTTGCTACTTATCATGATGTTAAAAAATATGTTCTTACTGTACAGGTTCTTGCCTTATGTTGGCTGGTTCACAATCATCATGTCAGAAAAGCCTATACTCAAGGTTTGAAATTTTTTGTAGTTTTAAAGTTTGTGAAAGAAAAGAGCCTATAATACTTGTGTCATACTCGTGTTTATGATGTTATATATATATATGAATGAGATATTTGTCATCATTTTAATCTCGAACATAGATAAAAGAAATTCAACTGTCAATGCATCTGATAATAATCCTATATAATTGTGTGATCATATCATGTTTTAATTAAATTTTACATCATCATGAATGCGTCATATCATCATGTCATGTTCGATACCATGGATGTTGCAACCTATTCATTTCTTTTGAACTCGTTTTTACCCTCCTTTTCTTGCAGTACATACTTGTGGGTGGATTGGGATTGCTGGTCCTTACCTCGAAGGAGTGAAGACGGTGGTAACAATGTCAATACGGAGGTTTTCCCATTTTCTTGTAAACAGGGAAAAGGGTGTTAAATAAGACTATTGAACACCATGGGCATATTATTTTGGTATAATAACACAAATTACATCCATTTGGGAAATTTGTTTAATAATTGAAGTTGTCATTACTACTTTTCACAAATTTAAGATTAGTTAAAATATGAGGTTGAATCCAGTTTCATTACTTCAAAGAATTCAGAATTTTTCAATCAAAAGAAATTTAAAGTTAGGATAAATTATATTGATAGTCACTGGGATTTTAGAATGCTTGTACTTCAATCACTAAACTTTTAATATTTACATTACAATCATTGAACTTTTAATTCACCTCCGTTGGTCACTGTTGTTAAAAAATACTAATATGCCATTTTAAAATGCTTTTAAATCTTAATTTTTAAATTGACAGCCATCACAAAGGTCAATTTTCTAATGAACAAAGTGATCATCGATCAATCCTAATAGTAAGAAGATTTCGTTTGACCAGAATCATAACATAATTCGAGTTATTAACTACTACATGTAAAGTAGGTTAAATCATGATCGTCTTCAATATATGAAGCCATGATTCACACTTCAAATTTCACAATACCAACATCGCATCGATGTCTCTGGGAAAACAGAAGCCGAAAGAATCAACTAAGAAAACTGAATATTGAAAAGGAAGCATTATAAAAAAAAAAAAATTATCATACTAGCACAATCAAGAAAACTCGACACCTACAATGTATAAGAAACCAAATTTGCTTAACCATACAGTGGCTATAAGAACTGACCACCAGAAAGTAACAATCTTCTTTCAGAGATTCAACCCTGCACTTCTCCATCCACAACATCTCTTTCTTCAGCAGAAGCTGCCATTAATTCGTCAAAGTCCTCCGTCTTCCCCAACAATATCTCAATCTGAGAATGAACATAAAAGCATATCAATCAACACCCGAATCTAAAAACGACAACCCGTGACTTGGAAATTCTAATACTGAATTTTTCTAAATCACATCAGAATTTAACTTGGAGTGAACAAATAAATGTATGTCAGCTTGCAAATATGTTTTTGAATAAACCATGGCTCATCGAGATGGAGGCACTAGGAGCTATTGAATTGATTTACCTTTGCTTTTTGGACAGGCCGCCCTCTCATGTCCTCTTTCAAGTCAACTGTTGAGGTCGTGATCTCTGCAAAGGTGTAAGTTGATTCTCGTAATTATCGGGACGTGATGACCATATTAACACATTTTTTGAAAAATATATAAACAGAAGAAAAAGTGGAAGATATCTTACTTTTCTCAACAGCCAAGCCTTTGTTTTTCAGAATTTCAGCAATTGTAACAACAGTTGCAATAGCTGCACATTTGATAAGACAAAAAAGAACAATGAGTTAACACCATTCTCAAAACTTAGCATACAAAATTGACCATAATTCGGCGAATCCTTATTAGCCATTGACAACACGGACGCAACCTGCAGACACAACTAGTCAAACCTTGGAACCTCTAGAGATAACAACACTCCCTCTAATAACTGTTTAGTAACTGAGGCCACTCAAAGGGTTCATAATTTGCAAGTTAAAATGCTAAAACCACAGCTTCAAATCCAATTTTGTGCAGCAGCAGTACAAAAATCTAAAGATCAAACAACCATAGAAAGTAAAAATCATTACTTAACTCCCCCCCTCCCCCATCTGTTCCTCTTGAGACTAAGCTATCAATGCATCAAAGCAAAAATCGTGATGACAAGACAAAAACAAACATAAATTCATATCTGAGAATAATCCTTTAATTATAACATCTGAAAATGAAGTAAAATGATATTAAATGTAATGAAAACGTAGAGCTGAAAAAGTAAAAGTACCCATGCCAAGGGCAGATAGCTCCACTTCATTGTGCTGTTGCATATACCTCTGCAAATAAAAAAAAAAGTATATCAGATATACTAATTAAATTTAATGCATGAACAAAGAATTAAACCCTATGTTGCAGAACAATGGTAGAAACTAATACCCAGAAATTCAGAAAGGGGCAAAATGCAGAAATAATCAGAAAACTGAAGAGGAAAAACCTTGGCAAGATTAACGTAGAAGAACAAGGGTTTTTTGGTATTTGAGACTTGAATCCGGTTCTTCTTGTGGGAATCGGCGGTCAAATTGATGCTGTTGACACCTTGAACGATTTCTTCCATTTTGAGACTACTGCGATTAAAACCCTAACCTTCAAAATCACTATCTTTGACTCCTCGAATAAGATGAGATCTGCAGAGTAGTAGTCAAGTGAAACAAATCAATAGGGATTTTTCCGAGCTCTGTTTTAAATTTGGTTGAATCCTTTGATGGTGGCTGGTAATCACTGGCTAGGGTTTATCACTTCCTTTGTACTGACTTTTAAGGGTAAACTACACTCACGCCCAATAAATTTTAATAGGCTTTCACTTCGGTCATTTTTTTTATTAATCTAGTATAAGTACAATGTAGTATTTATTCAAAGATAGCTCTCAACTATGAGCGAGAAAAACTCGAATCGACTCGAAAAACCAATTTGTTTTACTCGAAGTGACTTCGATTTGTAATTTCATAAATTTGACTCAACTCGAAAAAATTTCAAGCTCAAATCGAGTTGTAAAATACAACTTGAATAACTCAAAATTTAAAGTAATTAGTTGATTGATTTTTGAGTTTGAGTCAAGTCCTTCGACTTTGTATGATATATGTAAATTACATATGAAAAATATATATATGTATTGTATATGATTATAAAATACCATTTAAATTGTAATGAAATAATGTCACAATGTTGTAAATATTTACAATTAAAATTAAATATAAACTCGAAAATTTGACTCGATTCAAAAAAAATTCAAGTTAACTCCGAGTTATGGAATATGACTCGTCAACTCGAATAATTTGAATTTTTCGACTCGACTGGATTCGATTGAAAGCTCACCCCTACTCTCAACCATTTGACATTCAACAAGCTCACACCGTTGGCATTATTGGTGCTCGAAACTTAAAACCTCAATGAATAACAATAATTCATTTACCACCGATATCGCTTGGTTAGTACACTTTGGTCATTATATTTCACACATTATACAACTAAATTGATAACGTGACATATTAAAAAAATTAATATAGAATTTGTACCTAAACAATAATTATAACTAAAGTTTTGATTTAGTCTTTATACATTTTTAATTATAATTTTAAAAAATGAGAAAACAATTCATATTTTATATAATATTAGGTTTAGATCATTAATCTTTTTACATTGTATTATTTTAATATTGATTTCAAAAAATATATATACTCTCAATCTTTATATATTTATTATTTTAAACATTTCATAAAAGAAAAGTAAAATTAAAAAAATCAAAATTCAAAAAAGGAAAGCGTCAGCTAACAAGAATAGTGACAAAAAGTGATATTTTGGGTGTGTTTGGTTCACGGAATATAAGATTACCAATGAGAATATGATTATCGGCGGTAATAAAATTATTGAAAATGTTGTATTTTATGTTTAGTTCTTTTAGCAGAAATGTAAGATTACAGTGTTTGGTTAAATGAATACAAGATTATTGAAATGTATATTTTATCAAATTGTTCTTATTATATATTTGTTTTTTTAACAAGTTGAACTCTACTATAATTAATTTATATATTTTCTTTAAAAGATGTAAATTCATAAAAATTATATAATTTTGTTACAAAATTGAAAAGATAAATAGGTTAATGAAAGGGTAAAACTTTATTTTAACCCTTGAACTTCATATAAAATTCTAATTATGGATTTTTTTTGTAAATCTAAAATAGTTTAAGGATAAATTTATAATTTAACCTTCATAGAATTTTTATTATTCAACGACATAAAAAATGATATTTTTGAAAAAAAAAATTAAGGGCATTTTAGTCCAAAACGTCGGTAATCCAACAATACCTAAGGGAAGGGGTAATCACATTCCCGGTAATATACCCCCAAAATACCACTGTTGAGAATAAAAGATTATCGGGGCATAGGATTACTGGCCAACCAAACGGGGGAATGATATTCCATTCCCCCGGTAATCCCATATTACTTGAACAAAACACCCATTTTAGGTTATCGTTTCAATTCAAAGAAATGATGATGAATTTTTGCCTATACTATAGGGTTCAATTTTTTTCATTTATAATTAATCTTTATTTTTTTTAAAATCTAAGACTAAAATATATAGTTTGTAAAGAGTTAAATTTGTTATTATACCAATTATGATTTTTTTTTAAAAAAAATTAATTTTAAAATTATAGTTAAAAATATGTTCAAGGATTAAATTGAAGTTTTAGTTATTGTTTAAAGGACAAATTAGATATTAACATTTTCTGATGACGTGTCTATTCATCAAGCAACAAAATATCCATTTTATGATTTATTAATAATTTTAATGACCATAACATAACTTTTCAAACTTTAGTAACTAGAATATAATTTCACTAAAACTTTAATGACTGTGGGGTGTAGTTTAACCTACTGTTAACAACGAAGAAAAAGTAGTAATGTACATCGCTGAGTCGAGTTGATTTTTTTAATTTCTAGTTATTCAAGTTATTTGAGTTAATTCGAATTATCAATTCAATTTTTAAGTTTGAATCAAATTGAAATTTTGAAATTTCGAGTCACTCAAAAAATAAAAAATTTAACTAAATATTTTAACCGTTTTACGATTTAATCCATAATTTCATTATCTATTCAATTTCTTTCATCTTAAGTTTATTTACCTATTTTAAACTACATGCTCCTAAATCATAGTAGTATACATATGTAATTTCAATTCTTTTTTTGAATAACAAATTTTTTATTTTTTAATTTAGTCTCTCGAATTTTTATAACTTTCTTATTCCTTTAATTCATTCTTTATTTTAAGTATATTTTCTACCAAATTTGAACCACTTGCTTATATACCACGATAGAATATTTATGTAACTTCGATTATTACCTTTTTTTTACTAAAAGTATATTCTATTTTTTTATTTAATCCCTTAACTTTACGTTTTACTCAATTTAATCTTTTGACTACAATTGCTTACAAATTCTTTCTTCCCATCAATTCGACTCCTTTA